ATTAATTTAGTATGTACTTTATAATTTGACCTGTTAAATGTTTGCTGCCAAAAACAAATAAATTAAATCCTATCTTTTTAATTAATATATCTAAAAGAATATAAATAGAAAGAAAAAGGCATTTGATAAAAAAAGGAAAAGGTAATATAATTTGGGTTTGAATTAGTCTGAAAAAAAATGCCCAATGGCGTAATTTCACATTTTGGCCAGAATTAAGCTCAATTTAGACCAAAATGTGAAATTATACCCATGGGCGTTATATGGTTTAGTAATTTAATAACAAATTTTTTTATTTATAAATATAATAATTATAAGTAGAACCTGATACGAATTACAAGAATCGTACATCTGTATATGTAGACAAGTTAAAGAATAGCGATCCAGTTAATGATGATAGTTTAGTAAGTATATAATTTCATATTTAAATTAAAAATTTCAACAATTGTTCAGTACTCGCAAAGTTAATATAATTAAAATTTTTATTTATGTTCTAAAGCATACACTAAATAGAGGTAGATAAGACTTCACGAATGATTTTTAATCATAATAATGAAACGCTATTAATTAAATATTATATAGATAATGAAGATTCAATAAATGTTAATTCTGGTATGACGGCTAGTTTTTTGGTTATTATTGATTTTCAAATTATACTGTACCAGTATACGGATTGAAACTTTTTTATCAACTAATAAACCCTTAAAGAACACCGAATAGAACAAGCGACAAAAAGCAATTATCCTGAATCAAAATTACTGGGGTATGTTAATATTTCATGGAATTAAATTTTTTTTTTTCAAACAATTAAAACTTACAAATTCTTGATTGTGCGATCAGAATTTGTAGATTTATTGAAGAAAACAAGAAGAGAAAAGGGAATGTCAGAGAGTTTTGAGTCTCATGATTCAAGCAAAATATTTGAAATGTTTTCTCAGCCTATTAGCAATTACTTTAATAAGGAAGTCTTCGAAGGGTTAATGGAACCCGAACAACTCCAAAAAAAATGGAGGATATTCAAAGCTGCTCTAAATATCTAAAAATTTGGGATTTACATTACAATAATTGTAAAAGATTAATCGGAATTCAGGATTATAAAATGTTGAAATTAACTTATTCATTAACTAAAGTATTTTTTAACATGCTAAAGATTTGTTATCAGAAACAAGTCAAAGATACATCATTAGCAAAAAACTCTGATCATTGGAAGAGAAAGGATATTAAATCACAAATGAACAAACTCTGGAATATAAATTCGTGTATTATGCTAAAAAAGTGGACTAGTTGTTGGAGGTTATGTCATTTTCTTTGGGTGACAAATATTACACCTAAAGAAATGATTGAGGTAAAGTTAAAAGTGAATTTCTTTTGTACTGCGACAGAAATGAAATATAACTTCCTCATCAAAGAATTATTAGATCAAGGTTTTCCTAATTTTTCAAATATAAAAGGCAAAGAAATTTTAGATTTAGTAGAAATTGCAAAGAAAATTTGCAACTGATTTTTTTTTTCTTTATAAATACATAGAAACAATAAATAATTAAATTAAATTGATGCATCATTTAAACTAGCGTTAGCTTTAAAATTTTTGTTCATTAATACTGTGTAAAGAAATAGCAAAATTATTCCGCAGTGGTTAAATAAATCTATATCTTATTATTATTTTTTTTTGTGAATCATTATCACACATAATTTACATATGAGCACGACTCCTCCTCTATAATAACTCAACTTGTGTTTGTATGGAGTGGAGTATGATTGGAAAATAGAAACTTGTACGTTGTTCTCTTAGATTGACTCAAAAAAATTAATAAGGATAATTGAATTTAGAAATGTAAATTACATCTAATAGTTCATTTAGAGTGAACTTTCTGGTGACGACAAAGATTACTGACAACTGAAAAGTGGCGACCACAACCTTCGACTGGACATTTGAATACTGTTTAAGAATTTAAAATAGATTAGAATGTACTTACAGTACATAAAGTGAAATCGCTACTAACAAAATTGTATTTTACGAAATTTTCAATTCATTTTTTTATTTTACTTATGTTTCTCTCTAGTATGACTATAAATATAAGTTTTTAAAGAACTTGGACGTGTGAATATTTTTTGGCAAGTATTGTATTTATGTTTCTTTGGAGTTTTCATTATTGTGGGCTAGAACAATAAAATCTGAATTGATTTTGAAATTATTTTTTTCTTGATTTCATCTCTCATTAGTGTCTAATCAGTCAAATTATATAGTGTAGGTATAGTTGTTAGACGAAACCATGTGATGCTAGGGTATTTCAAATACTAACTAGACAAGCATCAATAATAATGCTACTGGTTAAATTTTATGCATAAAATTGATTAGCAAAATCGATACATCTTTACTATCAAAAAAACGTTTAAAAATTTGGTGTATTTAGTATACAAGTAATTTTTTTCTAGCAATTTTTGTAGCAAACAATTGGCACGATATAGCCAAATAAAGTTACGATTTAAAAATTTTAATTAATTGATCATTTTTACTTATTCAATTAGTAAGAATTTTTTCTTTTGTTTCGCTATATATACCCTGGCCAAATGATAAGCATTTGTCATGAATTGGCCTTGATAATCAAAATTTTAAAATCATAATTGTGTGAAGATATTTTAAATCATATTATATATAAACTTTTATCAAAAGTTATTATATTTTAAAATTACCTTTTATAATTGTTAAATGTTTTAATCATAAATATTAAGAATTGGCTTTGATAACAAAAAATTTAAAATCATAATTGTGTAAAAGAGTTTCTTATCATATTATAGGTAAAGCTTCATTGTAAATTTATGTAATAGTTTTAATGCTGAATCTTTGAAGATTCGGTTAAAAAAATATTGCCGGGTATATTAGGATCCATGGGTATAGATAATACGTAAAAATCTGTACTAGTAATTTTTATTATAAACCTTATCGTTATATAGACTTGATTATTTAATATATGAAATACCCCAATAGAGTATGAATTTCAAGATTTTCCATCTAAAATTATTTGTATTTGTCCAGAATTCTGTGGTGCATAATTTTGCTCGCTCTAAAAATATTTTTTTGTATTGTCTCCATAAGAAAAACGTGACTTTAATTACTTTTTAAAAACTAATACAATACAAAAAAGATATTTTTAGAGCGAGCAGAATTATGCACCACAGAATTCTGGATACTCTAATTTGTATAACTAGTCCTACATACAAATTAAAACTTGTACAAATTAAATTTAAAATAAATATGTTTATATCAATTCTTGAAATTTTTGCATATGGGCTGAGGATTTGTGTAGATCGTACCCACCCAAAAATTAATTATTCCCACAATTGGTGAACATTAATTAAGATTTCGTTCCTTTAATAATTTTGGGTTAAATAATAACAATTACTATTTGTATCCTTTTTTGGTTAGATAATAACAATTACTATTTGCATCTTTTTTTGGTTAGAAATAAAATAAAAAGTAGAACAATGAATAAAAGACATACATAATAGAGTGTCCAGAATTCTGCGGTGCATAATTCTGCTCGCTCTAAAAATATCTTTTTGTATTGTATTAGTTTTTAAAAAGTGATTAAAGACAATACAAAAAAATATTTTTAGAGCGAGCAGAATTATGCACCGCAGAATTCTGGACACCCAATACATAATTTACGTTAAACCAGTATTGTATAAAAATAGGGACTTTGAAGTTAATTCCATATATATTGTAATATTTTGTATTATTTTAAAAATCCTATAACAATGTGACATCTCTTACTAACAAAAAATAATAAAATTGATCTCTGAGAATTTTTTCTAACTAAGGACTCGTTAAATTGATTAAAAAGTATTTTAAAACTAATTTTGATTTTCAGACTGCTGTAAATTTAATTATATTATATTGATTACTTAATCAAAACTTTTTATCCATGTGGCTAGTAAATTAAATTTAGTGAAAAATTAAAAATTCAAATGTATACCCCGTGATACTTTGAAAAAAATTTTATCTTTAATAAATTATAAATGCGACAATTTAGAATCACCTATTTTTCGTATTGTTAGTTCCATCAAAGGAGCAGAGCATTATTAGAATGTCTGCAACTAGCGATAGAAATTTCTAATTGTTAACTATATAAATCATGTTAACAATTTAATTGTTAAATGATTTATATATATAAATCATTTTAACAATTAAATTGTTAACATGATTTATATAGTTAACAATTAGAAATTCCCATCGCTATTTGCAACTATATATATATATTTTAGAATTTTAAAAGCTTTAGGCGTGGTTTAATAATGTGCAAAATTGAAAATATAGTTGAATTATTAGCAGAACTTAATGTCATTCATGAACTTGAATCCAAGACTTTTCTTTCTTTAAAAGAATTAATTACACCCAAGAAGAAAAAAACTAAGTCCAATCTGCCAAGAGTACAAAATAGTTTTATGATTTTTCGTAAAGATTTTGCTGCTTATTGGTTTTCTTTAACGAAAAAAAATGACTTAAAAGAAGTTTCACAGTTCGCTAGTGATTTATGGAATGGAAATCTTTATAATTTCAAGTTATGGAATAATATTAACATTGTTGAAAGAAAAAATATTTATTATAAAATATCTTCAATTGCAGAAATGGTCTACAAAAAATTGTACCCAGATTACAAATATTGTCCTAAAAGAAAAAAAATATCACATAACGAATATATACATTATGGTCATGTTCCTCAACAACTTGAAATTAATGGTGCAAATTCATATTATAAACCTTACAACTTTATTCAACAACTTAATATAAATTTAAAAAATATTATGAATTAATTATTTAATAAGCATTGTAAGAAAATTTTGAATTCTGAGTTTGTATTGTAATATTATTTATCTATTTATTATGTAATATATTATTCTCATGCATTCATTGTAAATAAAATATTGTAAGCTTTTTTATACAAAGTTTCTTTCGTTTTCTAATACTGTAATATCAGATATTAATTAAAAATTTAGTATTTGATTGAATGTCTACTCCTATGATCCCTCATAGTCAGACATTCGTTTGATTGGCTGATGTAAATCAATTGTCTGGGTAACTTATTTATACACTTTAAAGTACTTTTGGGAACGTAACGTTTCACTAATTTTTCACTTCGAAAAAACATTTATATTCACTATACAAAAATAATCAAAAATAATTAGTAGCCCCGAGAACTTTACTTAGAAGACAAAGTATGCCTGCTGTTTATTGGACCATATTGTAGAGAGAAGGTAACTGGCAACATTTTCGTCTAAAGCTATTTATTACGTTAGATTTAGATAAACTTTGTCTTTTAACTGTTTGATTTGAATAGGTACAAGCTTTTAGTAGTTGAAGATCTGGGCTTAATATTTAAATTTGGCCAGTTCTTGTAGTGTATTTGGGCTTGTCAACTGTAGATCTTGTACGTAGATTCTTTATTGAGATAGAATATTTATCTACTTTATGCGTATCTATCTATTCTCTAAATATAAATAATTCATTCTTTTGTGTGTATTTATTAGTCTGTAAGCTTCTTTATTCGACCAATCAGACGAATGTCTTTAGTAGGGATGTTAAATTACGAATCCATTCCGGTCCGATCCTAGGATCTAAAAAGACGGTCCTGGACTCGATCCTTTAAATCACATGAAAATACAATACATTTTATAGGACTTAGATCCTTAATCAGATCCTGAATTGAATCGTCGAAAGAGTTCATCCAATCAAATTAATTTTGTATTGTTATAATATTTCAATTTAGAATCCAAGTCCTATAAAATGTATTGAATTAAAATCTTAATTTTAATATTTTTAGAATTTTAATTTGTTGGGATTTTGTGCATTGGACCGTGGACTACTTAACATCCCTAATGTACCATTGATGTTACGGCTTAAGCCAGCGATCCACAGATCTGAGCATTGGTTCCATTTAGGGTGTTCAGAACTCTGTGGTGTATAATTTTGCTCGCTCTAAAAATATTTTTTTGTATTGTCTCCATAAGAAAAACGTGACTTTAATTAATTTTTAAAAACTAATACAATATAAAAAGATATTTTTAGAGTGAGCAGAATTATGCACCGCAGAATTCTGGACACTCTAGTTCACAATTTGTGTAGTGAACTTTGTAAATCAAATCTATATATAGCCTATATAAATCAGATAAATTAAGCTTTAGAGATCAACATGTAAATTTAGATAATGTTATTTTAAAAAGGTTGGAATTGCTTGAATAGTTATCTAAAAGAAACAATACGCAATTGAATTGAATTGATAATCCATTTTATGTTGCTAAAATTTTGTTTTTCAGTTGGGGTTTCAAAGTTAACAAATAAGTGACATATTTCGAAAATAAATAGGATTTTTTCAATAGCATTTTTACTATGTTGAATTATAAATCGGAAAAATAAATAAGATTCTCCAATTTTAAATTTGAAACCTCCCTAATGGTCAACTTTGATCAATTTTGAATTTTTTTTTTTACTCATATCTACATGATCTTAGTCATAGTTTAAGGTGCAGGTAAGACCGTTGATGCTATTACGACTGATTTTTCACATGGTGTGCAACGTATAAAAAAACAATTTTACAATACCGGATCATAGTACATGTTATGATTATAATTTTTTTACTAATAAAAATGGTGTTGGATTATAATCATAACATGTACTACCCGAATAATTCGGTATTATAAAATTGTTTTTTATACATTGCACACCGTGTAAAAAATCAGTCATAATAGCATCAATGGTCTTACCTATAAGAGGCGGCATCCATAATTTTGATTGTATTGTTTAATTTAATGTCATTTATAGGAGTGAATAAAGATTTCAAATCATAAAAAAAAAACTTTATTCTAAATATTTAAATATCGCTTTTATACCGTTTCGATTAATGCCTTCATCAATACTATGCCTCCTATTTTTCCTACTGAATGTATGAAACCAATATTTCAATATATCAAAAAAAATGATGAATCATTATATCCTTCTTTATTAGTAAATCATTATTGGTGTAAAAATGTAGTGGAATTATTGTGGGCTTGTCCATTTGATTCATTAAACTTTGATAACTTCTATAAGATTACACCAATTTATATTTCGTTATTTGATAAAAATGAAAAAAATCTACTTAAGATTTTATTGGTTAAAAATTCATATGAACAAAATTCTGTTTTGAAGTTAATTCCAAATAATAAACCTTTATTTGATTATTCGATGATGCTGAAAGAATTTTCCCTAAAGAGATTAGAAAACATTGTACAATCTTGGATTGCTGTTTATAAGCCTGATAAAAAATTTGAAGAGTTAAGAAAACAAATAATGAATATTACAGAACAAATGATATTGTTATTATTCAAATTATTTATCAATAGTACAAATTTAAAATTTTTAAAAATTGATAGTGACAAGATTTTGAATTATGTTCCGGATCTTCAACTTAAAATTGGGCAATTTTTAAAAATTTCAAAGCTTGAAATTGGACACACAACTCAGTCGATAAACATAAACTCTATAAATTTTTTAGTAAAAATTTCAGAGTCATGTAAACAAATAGATAATCTAATCATCAAAGTTCCTGCATTTAAGAAAAATTATCATTTTAAAAAACTTATTATATCGATTATAAATGCTCAAGAAAAATTAAAAAAATTAGCCTTAGGAGTGAAGATAGTTGGTTAGAAGAAATAATCAAAGCATTGCAATCTCAAGCCAATTCATTAGTATCAATCAACTTCGAGTGTGTTAACATCTCAGAATCATCATTAATTTTGCTTGCTAAATTCAAAAATTTGAAAATCTAGTTATTTTAAACTATTCAAGGCTTAAAATAAGACTACACAATGATATTGAATTTAAAAATTTGAAAAGGTTATATATTAAAAATTATCCTTTAATAAATATTAAGATGCCAAACCTGAAAGAATTAACTTTAAAAGTGTTGACACATGAAGTGATAGTTTCTATAATAAATAACTGTCCTAATATTACTCATCTTAATCTCAAGAACTATCGTCCATCTTCTCATGATTTGTTATTTAAAGACTTTAATCAAAAATTATACATAACTCACTTAAACATTAAATTTCTATATAGTAATTCTATTATTTCGGAATCTTCAATTCTATTAAAAGAATTTTTACACTTACACTTAAATATTTAGAGATTAATTGCAGGCTTATTACAATTTATCTTGATAATCTAATGGATGATTGTTGTTATATAAAATTAAAAGAGTTGATTATTAAAGTAATAAAAATTTTTAATTTAACAAATAAATCTCAATTTAATGATAATATAGATCAATACTGTCATTTTAGATACTGGTTAAATTTAACAAGATTTCAAATTTTTATCAATAAATTGAATATTTCTCAATATCTTTGGTTAACATTTGTTCTTAATTAAAATGACTTGTAACTGTATTTTTTCTATTATTTTTTGCTATTTAGATACTTAAAAGTTTTTTCATTACTCATATTATTACATCAATTTAAATATAAATTAATGCATAATTTTAGGCAAAATTAAAATATGATTTCAAGTTTAATTCCGGATAAAATTAGATAATTCAGAAAAAAAGTATAATGTAGACAAGTTTAATATAAAATTAAAAAATTCTTTTGTACCATACAATAAATATTCTTTTTTGGCAATAACTTAATTCATAAAATGCCATAAAGAAAAATAAATTGTTTTTTTAATAATTTCCCAGTGCTAATGCTAAATAATAATTTTATCAATCATTTCAATTATTACTGAATTATCTAATATTTTATTACCAATGAAGCTTTTACCTTTTATTTATGATTAACAAGATGGATTTCAATGCCTTTTCTCAAAAAAATATTGACAACGTTTATCGTATTTTCGCAAAATAACGCAGAGGAAATCATATTTTGTCTAAATTACACTTAAATTTCGAAATAATGCCCCTGAGTTATTTCGTTATGTTTATTAAAAGTATGATTTTTATATTTACGGCTGGTTTGCTCTTACTCTTCAAAGTCTTCATCATCAAAATCATCTGCTGGGTGGGGTTAGAGTTTTATTTTTCATATATTAAACTGATTAAACCAGTTTAACATATGACAGTTCCAAACTCTAGATGAGGTTAAGGACTAAGTTTATCTTCTATTTTATTTTGTAGAGCTTAGCAAGTTCTACAAAATAAAAAAAAAATTATTTGAATTGGATTATTGGATGATTAGAAATTTCATAAGATCTACATAGTCCCGTAAGATTATTTTCAATCCATAAAGAATATTTTGAAGATAATATACTTATTTGGAGATTAATTGTTCAAGTTAAGGTTATCTTAATGCAAGTCAGATGACATAAAAAAATTAACTTATTTTCGATTAGCATTACATTACTATTTTCTAATTAAATTTTTTTTTTTTTAGAAATTTTGAGAAAATCAAATGTGACACTAAACTTTATGTTAAATTGAAAAAATTTAACGAATAAATTTTTTAATATCTAAAAATGTTTTAGTTCGAATTGGGGTGTTTATATATCTGATATGAGTGTTGCTAAAAGAAACCCGAAAATTTAAATATAAGTTATATTTAGATTTTCAGGTTTTTTTTAGCGACACTCATAAGTTATATAGAATGTTTTATAAATTAAAATTTAAAAAATGAGTATAATTCCTCGTGACAAGTTTAAGCTTGATATTATTGAAGTATTAAAAAAAGAAGAATTATTCAAATATAATTAGTGAGTTTATCTTCTCATTTGAGTTATTTGTTGAGTCGTTGTGTATCTGAAGTTATGCTGCCACATCTGTGTTAAGCACTTCGTGGCCACTGTTTCGGCAGTTGAATGTTCTTCTAGTTTTAGGTGTTCTGAAAATGACCCATACTCTGCCAGAATTCATGGTGAATAGGATACACAAACATTTTCTTATGTTTTTAACGATTATGATGCAATACTCATTATTTTATTATTTAAGTTATAATAGAGAAGCCAATATTTGTATTAATATTGGTGGTACTTGATTCGTAATTATATGTAAAGATTGGAAAAGAGCCATAGGTAGGATTTAAGAAATAGGATTAAAAGGAGTAGCTGATGTTGAAATTTTTTTGAAACTAATCTTTTTATAACTCGGAGATATTTATAATAAATAATGTTTTTTGCGACTCGGATAATACAAGAAATTTCAGCATAAGCCAATTCAAAACGTTTTAAATATATTTAATTAAATATAATTATTATAATTATAGGACCCGAAGTTATTCAAAAACTTGATAGGGCTCTCACCCTGCTAGAGAGCGGAAACATAGGTGTTGTTGTGACTTCAGATGAGGGAAAATTTTCCGAAAACTGCATGAAAAGAGCTAAAAACTCAAAATATCAAATTATTCTTACAAAAAAAAGTAATATTTGTAAAGAACTTAAAACATTAGTCAGAATATTTCTATTATTTCTTACATTAATTATTTTATTTATTTATTTTTTTTTTTTTTACTTATACCTTGTTCACTGTTATGCATTTAAAATATTCCAAAGATATTTATCACTTTTATTGAATTCCAAATTTTTATAGAGAAAAAAAAATAGTTATTATAATAAAATAAAAAACAAACCAAATACTTACCTATTTTGCTTCTTTGTGACCCAGTAGTTCTTGAGATATGCGGGATTAAAGATATAAACATAAGGATTAACAAATTTACTGTTACCGTTATATGTAACTAACTATTTTTTATAGCCCTTAAAAATTCTGAAATCTATTTCTAATTACAGAGTTGATATTGTAGAAGAGAGTATTGTTTTTTCAAATTTTATTTTTATATAAATGTGGTATTATCAATTTATAGAAACGATAAATAAAAATATATATACGATATTGGATGCCAAAATTATTTTCTGTATTGTCTTTTTACTTGCCTTTTTGATTTTTTCTCAAGTTGAATGGGTTTATTTTTTTCGTGATCAAGGCGAGCAATCATTCAAACAACTTAAAAATTACGTTGAAACAACATGTTTGGTGAATAATGTATCTATTAGTTATTATTATTATTATGAACAACTATGTCAAAATTGCTGGCATTTGGAATTGGCTTGATGACCTGTGACAACTTGAGAAATAAATTTGAAGGATATTTTGAAGTTGACGCGTGCCATAGCAATATAACCAAACGATGTTCACCAAATCTTTGGAACCCAAATAACTTGTGTAATGGCAGTTATTATTCTTGTGGGCATAAAACAAGTGTTATGAATGCATTCTGTTCTTTGTATGCATCTCAGGCTGTAAAACAGTATTTGAATGTTACATATACAATAGCAGATGGATCAGTTGTGAATGTGATTACTGTTGCGGATTTTGGCACGAATATTAATGGAGAAAATTCTGATCGAACGAATATGATTTTTGGAAAAACATATATTAAATGTTATTATAATTTTGAGACTGGAAAAAGTCCCATTCGTTTTTGGAAACTTCCGATAATAATAGATGTTTTTAAACTTGGTATGTGGTTTTATGCAAATATATTTTTATGGAATTTGATTGGTTTTTTCTTAGTTTTATTTTTTTATAAAGAGAAAGCATAGATATATCCAT